GAGCGACTTCATCGTCGAGAGGGAGTCTGTGGCGACAGGAACTCGTGTGGGCGATTGGGATGCTGCTGCCAGGCGGGGAACTGGGAACTGTCTGAGGCCATGCTGAGTGGCAGGACACTCCGCTCGGCAGGAGCATGCAAGGCTGCCAGCAGCTGCGCGGTGAGGCCCCACAGGGAGCGCGGCTGTCCGGGGAGTCAAGTGGCAGCGCAGCGGATCCAGACGCACGCTCAGCGAGAGACAACGAGCCGTCCACCGCCAAGACAGTTGCCAGCGAATAACAGGACGTTGAGCATGAATAGGACACGTATGCCCGCACCGCCGTGGGCATGGACAGCGACCCCGATTCACTCAGCAACAGCGATCTAATGCCCTTGGATGGTACAACAGTTACGCCTGAGCCCAGCACAGCCCTAGCAAATGTTGAACGAGTGATAACGTGTCGGGTGGCGGTGATGCCGCACAGGATTATTTGCGCACAACGTCTGGGAAACCAGAGATCCCATCGGAGCACAACGCAGCATCACTTGTGAGCAACGGTTTTTGTGAGCACGGGCATTTCACGGATTTGTTGGCCATGGCTGAAATTGGTGACATCACCGTGCATGGGTGTGTGTCTCGGGTGTTGTTGCTTCTGATTCTGGGGCTGTGAGGCACTGTGGCACTCTGCTGAGGCGTGAGGGAGGGTGGAATTGCGGTTTTTCGTGGAACAATAACTGTGCAGCTTGCCAGCATTACCCACTGAGTTTTGTCAATAAGTTAAGTTTTTTTATTTTCTTTTATTTATTTTATTTTTGCTGCTTTTGCCCTATTGGAATAATCAGCATCCCTGTGTTTTCCCCAATGCTCGTTTGCTGTACTTTGTCATGAGTGACGTGTTTCTCCTCCTTGTTTCCTTCTCTTGCCCACACGCGGTGCCGACCCTGCGGCTGTGCGTCCCACGGACTGCACAAGAGGAGGATTGGAGAGACAGGCCGGATGCCGCATGAAATGTGAGGGGAGTTGTGTGGGCTGGTGGAACAGTACGATTTTTTTTTTTTGATTTATTCAATCCAGGCATTACGTATACACAAACCAGTGGTTGTTTACATTGTGCTGCTTGGCACATAAAATGAAAGTCGTGCCTGATCGTTCTTTTTTTATTATTTTTTGGGAGTCATGCCGGACTCTCAACTCCGTTGTTGTTCTTTTCTACTGCTTTTTTAACTTCTGGTTTGCAGGGCGGTGTGTGCGTTCTGCAATTGTACTGATTCCATCTGCCTCGTGGTGTGTGCATTGTCATTTGTGGTTGTGTGGTGGCTATGCGTGGTGTAGCGGCCGTGTCTCTCCTTTTGCTTTTTGCTCTGCGTTGACGGGGAGTTAGTTTGTGCTGAAGGCTGCATGCAAGTGACAGGAGTGATGGCGATGATGATGACTGGCCGTGTGCTGCTGGTGTGTGCCCTCTGCGTGCTGTGGTGCGGTGCCGGCGGAGGCGTTACAGAAATTAACGATGAATCATTGGGGGGTTCACAGCTTTTGTCTGGTGTCGGCGAAGAAGCTCCAAAGGGATTATCGGAGCCTGGCGAACGAGGGTCCGACAGCGCGGGGCATCCGTTGAATAAAAATAATGGGAACAATTCCAACTTGCAAGAGGGGACAGTCACAGGAACAACAGCCGACAGAGTTGGGAAAGAAGAGGAAGTGGATGATAATGATGATCTTGAAGAAGCAGAAGAAGAAGAGAGAAGTAAAGAAAAAGAAGATAAGGCACAAACAGGTAAATCCAAAAGTTCATCGAAAGAGGTAGCTCCACTAACGATACCAAAAGCATCTGGTCTCGGTGAAGCCGGTGGTGGCAGTCCTTCTGGTGTTGATGGTGTTGGCTCAAGTGAAAGTTCTGACGGAAGTGAGGATTTGAATTTGGAGGCTCCTGGTCTTGTCGTGAACTTTCCGCCTTCCCTTCCCAATGCTGCCGCTGGTGGTTTGCAGAATACCGACGGTGCTTTATCGCCTCAGAAGAATAATTTCTCAGAAACAGGTGTGCATTCAGGAACGACGCCTCCAGCACCCTCACTGCCCAAATCACAGGCACCCGCGATGCCAAAACCAGAAGCAGAAGAGCAGTCCTCCACTGAGCAGGACACAGAAGATAGTCCAGACACAGAGGAGGTCACAACTGGAAAAGACAACGTGCAGAATACTGTGGAGACGGGAATTCCTTCCAGGTCGTCGTCTGCCGCCAGCAAACCACCCGTACAACAAGCAACGCCAATATTAACACAACCACCGGCAGCACCATCACCAGAAAGATCAGCACTGGCACCATCAGAAAAAAAATCAACAGCACCGAGTTTTTCAGCAGGAGAAGGAAGCCGTAGAGCAACAAACGTCGCACAGAACTCAAAGGAAGAAAAGAATGAAAAATTGCCGTCAGAAAACGAAACGGAGTCCAAAGCGGTGGAGCAGCCTTCAGGGGATGATTTGGCAGAGCAAGACAGTCCAGCGCGAACAACAGCATCACCCATCCCCGCAAGTGGCGGTGCCGATGCCCAGAGAAATGCGGATGCGGACAATAGAAATGCTCAAGCGCTTAAATACGAAGGAACACACAAGAACTCCGAAACTGGTTATACAAACCCTGCTTCTACAATCGGTGATGCAGCAACACAAACAGAAAAAGCACTCGCCGACGCCAAAGCAAATGATACGGCAACGCCTGGCAATAGTGACGGCAGCACCGCGGTCTCCCACACCACCTCCCCTCTTTTGCTTCTTCTTCTTGTTGTTGCGTGTGCGGCTGCTGCTGCGGTGGTGGCCGCGTGAGAGTGAGGGAGAGGGAGCCGTGCACCGCCCGCACACACACTCGTCCTTCTCTCTCTGTGTATGTGTGTCCCCTTGCATGGACTCTCGCCCTTACCTCACCCCACGAAGCACACACATAATGTGCCCATTGTATATATGCATGCACACCCATGCAGTCCCGTTGGTGCTCTCTTTTGCACGACACGCACCGCTGCCGTCCTGCCTGGCTGCATGGGCGGAGCGCCGTAACTGTTTTTGTTTCCATTGCTTTGAGTGGGCGACCTCTCTCTCTCTCTCCTTGTGTGTATGTTTTGCTTTTACGGGAGCAATGAGAGTGTGTGCGCTGGTCGTCCCACGCTTCGGCTTTTCTTTTATTGTTTTACTTGTGTTGTGGTTGAGTGCACCCATTACCTTTTTTTGTGGATTATTGGGTTGGATTGACTGCGGACACGTGAATTTTTATTTTATTTTTTATTGTTTTTTGTTGAGGAACTGTCAGCCTCTTGTATTCTTGTCAGGCCATTAAGATTGTCGTTGGCTTATGGTGTGTGTCAGTTGATCCACGTTAACCCCACGGTCTGCATCGCTACCGGTGCTGCTATTGTGATGATTTGTGTGATGTGGGTTGCTAGCGGACGTCTTGCTTTCACCCTGAAGTATTCCTTATTTCTTGACGATGTAGTGCGCTCCCACAGCGAGGCTCTCGTTTACGGTGGGGAGAATGCATCTCAGGGTGCAGGATGCGTTGCAGGTGTGCAGCGTCGTCTGGAAGGGCCCATGGGTGCCCGTCCGCATCAAGACGTCAACAACAGACCCGTGTGACAGCAGGAGGCACTGCGTCTTCTCCTGGTCTCACGCAATGAATTCATTGAATGACAATCGCCACTGTGAGGATAGTGTTCTATTCTTTGCGCACGGTAATATCCTTGCCGAGGAGGCTATCCCTGCTGCTGTCCAACTGCATGCGGATCGTCTGCTCGTCCGGCCACTGGAGGGTCCGTTGATTGTGCCCCCATTTGCCACGAGCAGCGTTTGCAGTTGGTTCACGGTGCCTGCTGGGCATCTTTCCGCTGGTGTTGCCGTTTCTGTCATAGCGCAGTGCGTGGCTGCTGTGCTGGGTGGTGTGTGGGCACTGCCGTGCGCCACGCTGGAGGATGGCCGTCCAGTCGCTGGCGCCATGCACTTTGCCTGTTAGTTTCATTTCACGGACGCATCGCCACCCGCATCGCCGCGCACCTGGTGGCCCATGCTGTCGGGTTTGACTGCCCGCACATGGCCAGCCGCAGCATGGTGAGGAATGCTATTGGTGTGCGTGGCAGGGCGCTGTCGGTGGTGGTGCGCTCGGTGACTTCCGCGATGGCTGCGAGGGAGCACCACGACTGCGACGACATTGATGACATGGAGCTGCAGGATGACGATGGGGAAGGGAGGACGCTGGAGTCGCACTGGTCGCGGCGCCACGCGAGGGATGAGTGGATGGCACCGATTGGGTGCGCCGGCGAATGCAGAGGAAGTGCTCCGCACCGAACATGAGTGAATATCGCTACATGCTTTGCGACGTGGGTGTCCCTGTCAAACGCTGCGCGTCGGATCGTTATTCCCGCGGTTGGTATTTGGGAGTATCCATGAAAGGTCAGCAAGGCGCCCGATGGACAGTTGCGCCATCACTGATTCCGCACTGGATGTGAGGGATATTGAGGGTGTTATTTGGAGAGGAGAATATTTTTCTGGGATGCCTGGGGATGAGCCCTCTTCGTGGTGTCTGGACACGCTTCCCACCAACACGACGGATGCGAGGAACCCGGAGGAGACATATTTCAGTGCTGCTGCGCATGCGGCATTGAGGTGCCTCGGCATGAAGGTGCATCTGAAAATGACTGAAAAGGGTAACATCCGTTGGTCCCATGCACGGACGGGGCGACGATTGCGTGGGCCACTCCACCCTACGATGGGGGAAAAGTTATTTGCCGTGACCACGCGCAGGTGTGCACGATATCCGCCACCAGCGGTAGCCTACTTCCAGTGGTTCCGTGGGACGGTGAGGATAGGGTGTGGAGCAGGACGGTTTCACCGGCATCTACTGAACAAGGATTGCCACGGGCGTCCATCCCCGTTGCGGAGAGCATTGAGACCGACTGCGGCACCCACCGAAGGATGTAGACACGGCTGCTCCCCAGAAGCATCCGTCGCCAGAGGAGAAGTGGATCCGGCCAGGATGCCCTGACAGACCGCGAGAGTCTTCTCTCGGCGGCAGGGACCGAAGCAGCGAGACGGACGGCGAGCAGGACACGTCTCCGACTCCCGGTGATGACACTGTTGCTGCTGCTTGTCCCTGTCCGCTGCTTCTTCTGCTTGCCTCTGCTGCTGCCGTGGCAACACTCTATGGAGTTGCGGTGTGGACGGCGTTGCGCTGCGAGGCGATTGTGCTTCCTCCTGCGTGGCCTGCACTCACCATTGTATGTCCAATAGGAAAACATCCATTTCAATGGGTGCCGTTCTCCATATGCATGTGCTGTATGGGCTCCGTTTAACTTTGTGTTTGAAATTGGTGGTATTTCCGATGCACACAGCTCTTCTTGTTTTGGTTGCCGATGTTGGGGGCACCAGATGGTCGTATGGCATTGCTTGTGTGTTTGTTAGATTTTCTGAGACGCAAATACACACACCGGTGCGAGTGAAATGTGCGCACACAAGACACACACGCATATCCAATCACATTTTCTGTGTGACTTCTACTTAACATATTATGCGTGGCGTGTTGGTGCGAGCAAGGCCGACGGAAGAGGGGAGCTGCGTGAGCCCAGCAATGGCGTTTGTGGTTGTGTGCGGGATTATATATTCCATCAGATGCTTAACGCCGTTCATGGATCGTTTAAAGTTTTCTGCGTTGCCCATGCTGCGTCTGTGCTGAGCTGCTCACTGCGTCTCCATGATCTCATGGAGCACGGCGTGACGCTACTCGAGGACCTCATGACACCGCGGCAGCCGATTATGAGTAGCCCTGCACTCTACTTTTTTCCGTGGAGGATGCGTCTGTGAGCCGCGTGGTTGAGGATTGGATGGCAAAGGTTCCTTACAGGGATGTACACGTCTTTGCGCTGGGGTGCACCCCGCATCGCAGTTCTCAGCAACTCGCGCGGGCTCGGATAGCGCCGAGGGCGATGCGTTTCAAGGACATTATGTTGGACTTTGCCGCCCCTGAGGTGCTGGTGTTCCACCTCAGCATGCAGAATGGGTTTCCTCAGCTGCTGTCGCCGCTGTCGCCCCCGAATTGAGAGTCCGTTGTGGATGTTGCGGCGTCACGTCTTGTGGCGGCTCTTCACGCCATGAACAACGGTGTGCCTGGCATTCACTACCAAAAAAAGGGTCAACATCTGCCATGGGTTTGCCAGGACCTTCTTTGAGGGCTCGCCAGGCAATACCACGACGAGCCGGATTCCACTTAGGGGCGCCGACAGCCGCGGCAACCCGGTGCGGATCATCGTTGATTGGGGCTGTGTCACGGTGACGCCGCTGATGCACCAACGCACATGTCAGTGTCTGCTTGATGACCTGATGCCGCTGGAGAATAACTTGTATTAGCGGACCCGTCGGAATTGTCTGGGGCGGACTCGAAGCGGCAGTAATTGATGGGGAAGATGTGTACCGGTGCTCCTACCGTCATTGTTTTCTTGCGCAGTGCGTGGAGGAGCTTTCGGTGGCGCTGAAAAAACTCCACGCGTATCACCCGGGATTGGCGCAGGGCGTGGAGCCGAAGGCCAATCTTGCGGAGTTGAGCAGTGCGGTGCGGGCTCCGCCGGGGTTTCGGGAGAGGCAAGCCAGACTGTCGCTGCACATCGATATTTGCGCGAGGCTTGTGGCACAGTACCGGGAGAAGCGACTGGCGGAGGTGCGGGAGGTGGAACAAGACATCGCCGTCTGGCACAAACCCCTCAGGAAAAAGCTGGATGGCGTGCAGCACCTGGCGAGGGATGCCGCGATGCCCCGGCCAGTGCGTCTGCGTCTTTTCCTGTTGCTTGTGGCTGCGAGCAGCACCGACGAGTTGACGGAGGCCAAGAAGCAGCAGCTGATCCAAGACGGTGGACTGACGCCCGACGCCCATTTGCTTGCGAACCTTGAGCATGTGACGAGGAGGGCCGGGAGCGTGCAACAATACAGCACGGCGTCGGCGCAGAGCGAACGGAGAACGAGTGCCTCTGCGAGCAACGCCGCGACGGACGAGGATCCGTTTCTGAAGCATGCCTGCATGATGATGGAGACGGCGGACAGGAATAGGACGCTGCAGGTTGAGCTGTCGTTGGCATCGATGGAGGGCGATCATGCGATGAGGACAAATGGCGCGAGTGGTGGCCAAAACAGTGGAGCAGGGACAACGCCGGGCCATTTCAAGGGTGTGGTGGCAAAGGGGAGAATCATCCTGAGCTGGGTGGCGGTGGCGGTGGTGGGACGATTGCCCTCACAACTCCTCAGCGCATTGTGCTGCTTGTTTTGGGTGGTGCGGCCTGCAGCGAGAGGCGCTTGGTCCATGAGGTATCCAAAAGGTATGGCCCTGAGGTGGTCATTGGGAAGCCTCGATGCCGCGTCCTGAGGTGTGTTTTTGCAGGGACTTGGCATCCTACGGCAGTGGGACTTACGGCGAGGCACGCACAGGAATGCATCGAGGGCCAAAGAGTGGGAAATACGCAAACACACACGATTGCGGGTGTCCATGGGGATTGTGTGCGCTTCTTCTTGCCTTCCCTTTCTTTCCACGAAGCGTTTCATACGATACGCGTGTGTGTGTTTCAACGGCCGCGCTGCTCGCCTTATACCTTTGTATTCTTGCGTGTGCGGTTACGGGCCATTTCCATGCAACTAAGAAGGCGGATAAAAAAGGAAGGACATTTGTGGAGCATGCATCCACGGCTTCAGTGTTCATCCGCTGGTGCTGACTTTTTTTGCTGGGGCATTTGTGCGCGCTTTTCCCTCCAACGTCTATTTTTTTTTGCACAGGAGGCAACGGGTGGGCATTCGTGAGTGCTGCGGCGGGCTGTTGTTGCCCTCGCCAGGACGCGCTTAACGGCGTCAGCTCCATGACTTTGTGCACAAAAGGAATGGGAATTTCTCCGGATCCTCACCGCAGGCGCATGCCGTGGACGGCCGAAAAGGAGTGTGTGCCCGGTGTTGTTCATAGCTCCAAGGAAAAGATGGTGTTGGATGGTGCACGACGAGTGAATGTGGATTGCGTTGACCGTGCATCGCAGGTGTATCCGCTGAAGGCATTGCGGGCGGCTGTGAACAAATGCTAGTACAATACATGTAGAGGAAAGAACATTTTTAATTGGCTTCTCAGGCGGAATCCAATGTACTCAGGCAATGGGTTTACCGCGAGGATTGGCCGGAGGGGACGCACGATGAGAACGCCACCAGCACCGCCATTCATTTTCTTGGCCACGGCAGTAACGCAGCCTCATGCGACTACACGCCTTGCGGATTTTCCGGGGTGGCACGCACTGTTCCGCTTGGCGCCACTGTTCCCCCATTCCCGAGCGTCGGTGCAGACGTCCCTGTCGATGCAAGTTACTATCGATTGCGGACACACACCCATTGGTTGATGCGGCCGACACCCCAGCCCATTGCTGGTGCTTCTGGCATGACCGCTGCACCGCCCCAGCAGCTGGTGCAGTGGGACTGGGGACGAGAACACGGCGGACCAAGTTCAGTCAGATGGTGCTGGCAGCCCTGTCAGCGTCTCGCCTACCCCAGCGACCCACCCACACCACCAGCGAGCACAGAAATCGACGGGACAGGGAAGGCATTGACGGAGTGTCAGGACACCAGTTGTCTTCCGACATCATTTGCAGCCAAACAACCGGCATAATTTACAACAACATCAGTCACCAACAATGAAAAAGGAACAACGACCACCGCCGACAGCGACAGCAGCACTGCGGTCTTCTACACCACTTCCCATCTTTTGCGTCTTATTTTCAGTTATGCAGCGGCAGCTGCGATGGTGGCGTCCGGGCCTGTATGAAGTGATGTGCGCTGAATATGAAGGAAGGCCGATGGCAACTGAATTGTTTTTGTGATGAATATTGACTGCACTTCCCGTGGACCAACAATCCACGTGGTGTGCGGGGATCTCTCCTTTTTTATTGTTACTTTGCTTTTGTGTTGCTGTGTGCGCTGCACCTCCTCTTGTGTGTGCGTACC